CACCGCCCCCGCTCCGCGTTCCCTCTCTTCCTTGCTGTAGTCTCCTCCATAGCAGATATCAAACATTTGTTCACGCCTGTCTCCCACCAGATGCAACAGAAGCTCTAGGAGAGCAGGCACCTTCTCTGGTGCCCCAGTGCATCACAGCCTCTCAATAAGCACCTGCTGAATCAGTGCGTGAATGAGCGAATGAGCAAATGACTGTCGCTGGATTGGGGAGGAGCATAGGGTATAGGGTCTAAGAAGTGAAAAACCTCCCTTTGGACTCAGCTGGCACCCAGGGGCCGACGGGCCCGAGCTGGGCACCAGGGGCTCTGCCCTGCCCTTTCACGGAGGGCGGCCACCTGCTTCTAGGCCATCTGGACCCCGACGCCCGCCGCTGGTGGCCGCAGTTACAACCGCCCTCTCGGACTTGAAGGCCTATCTTGGTCTTTGGGCACCCCCTCCCCGGGGCCCTGCCCACGCTTCCCGGCTGCGCCTCGCCCACGCGAGGCCCCTCGCTCCTTCCCAGGCCCTGTCGGCAAAGGGGGAGCAGGGGGAGGTGTATGCCCCCCACCCCCCGCACTGGGCAGCTGCGTTCCGCCCAAAGTTTAAAAGATGCCACTTTCAATTACGTTCGAGTGCAATGTACCCTGAGGCTTTTTGTGGTAAACGGCTCTCAATAAACATGGTTTATTCATTAATTATTATTAATTATTTCTTTGAGCGGTGCCTGGGGAGGCAGGCCCCACGCAGCCCGCGGTCGTTTGTCGGCTGTCAGACCTGGGGTGGGTGGGGCTCTGAGGGCCGGGGCCGGGGCGGGGGGCCGGGTGAGGGCCGCGCCGTCGGAAACCCTCTACGTGGGCGAGATGGAGGGTCAAGAGGGCCCCTCCATCGGGCGGCGGGGACTTCCATCTTCAGCAAAGGGGGCAGAGAGTTGCCACGGACCGAGCCCCGTGAGGCGCCTTCCGTGTGGAGCACGCCTGGTTTCCAGAAAGCAAACCACAAACGAGACAACCAAAGCCCTCATTTGTCACATGTGCCCATTTCTGAGGCACAAACACCCCCCACACACACACACCGCCCATTTCAAGATGCCCCCCATGAACCCTGGGCTTGGTAAAAACTCCTGGAAACTTAACCGCCAGGACCTGGGGACTGAGGTGGCAGCCCGGACCCCTGCCTCAGGCCGGGCGCCTTAGGGACCCTGGCTGGGGAAGCGCGGAGCCCAGACGCCCCCGCAGCACTGGGGCGAGGCGGAGGGTGAGGAGAGGCCGGCCGAGCGGCTCCCGGGGCCGAGGGGAAGCCAGCAGCAGCAGACTCGGGGAGCCAGGGCGTCCCGGCAGGCCCAGGCCCTGGCCGCTGGCGCCCAGCACACGGGGCATTAAGTGGACCCTGTGCCCTCTCTGCCAGGTCCTGCACCACGCACTTGTGCTGGGCTGGTGTTTGTTGAGGGAACGGATGGCGGGGGGTGGGGTACAGGAAGTGGGGGTGCCTGGATCCAGCTTTAGACAAGTTGGGGATTTGCCATCTCTTCCCACCCCTCCACCCCTCCACCCCTCCACCCCTCCACCCCTCCACCCCTCCACCCCACCTTCTGAGGACCCCAGGAGGGAGCCAGCGGAGAGGTTCAGCGGGTTCAGGGTATGGAGCATCAGCCGTGTCTGGTGCCGGCCTCCAGCCCGAAACTCTCCCAGCACGCCGAAACCTAAGTGACCAACCCCAGCCCTCAACCCCCCCCATAGAGAAGATCCCCCCCAGGCTCTTGAAAGAAGAGGTGGACAAACTTTCTCTACTCTGTTTGCTTCACACACAACATGGGGAAGTCAGCTGCTGTTTTCCCAAAATCCCGAGTCCCCTGAGCCCTATACGCAAATACATGCAGAAGTCAGGGCTGGGCTATTTTTAGCAGAGTCAGAGGGAGGTGAAGAAGGCTGAGGCCGGGAGGCGCACAGAGGTGGGCTTAAGGGACTGCCCCTTCCTCCGTGAGCGCCCACCTGCTGCTCCCAGGCACCCTGAGGGTCGCATTTGGGTGTTTCTTTGGGGAGGGCGGGCCAGTGTTCATCCTCCTTTGGGGGTTATAGTGAGTGCGCTCCAGGTTTTTCAGAGAAAAGATGGACGACGCCATGTGGGGGCCGGGGGGCTCGTGAGCCCGTGGCCACTCAGCCCAGCCCCTGGGTTATTATCTTTCAAGGCAGCGACACCTGGCCCCTTCTGGATTCGTTCCTGCGGCTCCTGAAGCAGATTACCACAAACTGGAAAGCTTCAAATCACAGAAATTGATTCTCTCTGCTCTGGAGGCCAGATGGCTGGGGGCGGGGAGCGGGCAGAGCTGCGCTCCCTGGTTGGGGGTGGGGGGGTCCTTCCTGCCTCTTTCAGCTCCTGGGGCTGCCGATGTCCTTGGCCGTCCGTGGTTTCTAGACGCACGCCCCCCCCGCCCCGCCCAGTTCCTGCTCTGTCTCCACATGGCCTTCTCTCCTGTGTGTGTCCAAATGCTCCCTTCTTGTGACCCCAGCCAGTGGATTTGGGGCCAACCCCCATCCAGCATGACCTCATCTTAACTAATTATACCTGCAAAGACTTTTCCATAGGAGGTCACATTCACAGACAGGTGTCAGGGGTTAGGACCTCCACGGGTCTTTTTAGGGACACAATTCAACCCACACCACCTTCCATCTCGTTCTACCCAAGGAGAACCCGCCCACCAGCAGCTGTGGCTGGGAAAAGGCAGCTCTGGGGTCAGAATAGCCGGTGTCCTATCTAGGCAGTGACAGGCTGGGAGCCACTATCCCTGGACCTCACTGTTCTGACCTGCCAGGGAGGGGCGAGGAGCTCCTCACACCTGGAGACACTGGGCGGCTCGGGAGGCTCGCGGAGGCACCTGGGGGCACAGGGGAGGCACGGGGAGGCACCTGGGGGTACAGGAGGCACCTGGAGGCTCGGGGAGGCACCTGGAGGCACCTGGAGGCTCGGGGAGGCACAGGGACACGTGGGGAAGCACCTGGAGGCCTGTGATGTCCTCAGCTTCTGGGTGCGAGCCCTGAAGTGGGGTGGCCAGCTTTGGTTTAGTGAGGAAGGGCTGCAGGGGCCTCCAGCCACCACCCGGCCTTATACCTGGGCTGCAGGTCAGGCTTCTCTCTCCTGCTACCAGCCCGTCCCTCCACCTTCCTCCACTCCCTCCATTCTCCCCACCCTCCTGCCTCATTGAAAGGTTAAGACAGGATTCAAAAGTGGGCTCCTCTACCTAGCGCTCTTAAAACTCAACAATAAGAAAAAGAACAACCCAATTTAAAAATGGACAAAGACCTGGACACTTCACAAAGAAGATAGGCAGATGGCAAATAAACGTGAGATGTTCTACATCCACCATCATCTGGGAATTACAAATTGAGAATTAAAAACAGTTGAGCCTGGCCCTGGCTGCTGTGGGTCCGTGGATTAAGCGCCGGCCTGCAAACCAAACGGTCAGGGCACATGCCTGGGTTGTGGGCCAGGTCCCCAGGAGGGGGCGTGCGAGAGGCAACCAGTTGTGTCTCTCGCACCCTAACGTTTCTCTCTTTCTCCTTCCCTTCCTCTCCCTGTAAGAGTAAATAAATAAAATCTTAAAAAAAAAAGCCATGTGGGCGCTGGCCCTGAAGCAGCAGCACCTTATGAAAGGCCCTCCCAGGCCCTGCCCCAGGCCTGTTGCCTTACAGCCCCGGGGGCGGGTGCAGCTCCCGCCGCCTGAGCCCAGCAAGCTCAGGATCGGGGGCCCGCGGACCCAGAGGCTGAGCCCCACGGGCCCCGAGCAGGGCTTCTCCCCTCCACGCTGCTGACCCGGGGCCGGGCCGCCCGTGCCGGTGGGCGCTGTCCCGTGCACTGTGGGGTGTTGACCAGCATCCCCCGCCTCTTCCCACAGGGCGGCCGTAGCGACCCACCTCCTCAGCCCCCTCTTGTGACAATGGAAGCTACCTCCAGGCAGTGCTGCCGGCCCTCGGGGGGGCAGGCCACCCCCAGTGGGGAGCGCCTGGCTGGGAGGAAGCTCCCCGAGTGTGGAGCGCCTCAGACACAGGGTCCTGTAAAAACGCTGGTGCATCCTGTGGCCTGGGCTGGCCCCCTGTTGGGTCATGTGATCCGCAGAGCAACTTTCAAACGATCCCCAATTTATAGCCAACCCCACCTCACTGCTTCCCAGCTGTGTGACCTTGGGCATTCACTGCTTCCCAGCTGTGTGACCTTGGGCATATTACTTAACCTCTCCGTACCTGTTTCTCTCCTGTCAGCTGGGGATATAACAGCACCTACCCGACAGGACAGCTGAGCACAAAAAATGACAAACTCCCAGCCCGGTGTCTGAAGCGCAGTCAATGCCCAGTGGATATTAGGCAGACTTCCTCCAAATGCAGGTGTGTTCGCTGACCTCACCCTGCCAGGGCCAGCGAGGCCAGCTGGCCGTGAACGGAACCAGGGCCACTGCTGGCCAAGCAGGGTCCCTGGCGTCACAGCCCGGGGCAGCAGCAGACGCCCTGGGTCTCCAGGCCCTGCAGGGCCCTGCTTGGGGCAGCCTGACGCGGCCCCCCTCCCCCGCCCCTGCCTGGCCGTTCACACCGCTCGCTCCTCCAGCCCTGGGTGTTGCAGGAAAAGATGAGAAACAGCACAGCTCCTCCTCTGCACCGCACATCCCAATAAAATATTTATTATTTCAAGAAATAAATCTTTAAAAAAGAGAGAGAGAAAAGAGAGTCTCTATTGCTTTCCCCCGAAGGTCAGGTCCTCGGTGACGTCTGAGTTCCTGGGGCCGCAGGGGCGGCTGCAGGGGCGGCCGGGCCCGGAGGGGGCTCGCCCACAGGAGGCGTTCTGCTGTTGGCCCAGAGCGGGGCTACCTCTTGGGACTCGCAGGGCGAGGGGCTGCCCCCTGGAAGGGTGGTGGGGCGGGCCCGGGAGGGCGGGCGGGGTGGCCCAGGGAGGGGGCGAGATCACTAAACAGGAAGGGGCGGCAGTGTTTCTGAAGGCCTGGCCTGCTCAGTCAGGCAGGGCTCGGGCATGGGGTCGGGGGACGGGGCGCCCCGGCGCAGGGGCAGGCATGCCGCACAGCGGTGGACACGCAGATCCAGAGGTGGCTGGAGGCTGGGGGGACATGGGCGCAGCGCTGATGGGGTGGGGGCCACAGGGGGTCTAGCGGGCCTGGGCAGCCAGGGGCGGGGCCAGGGGTGTGACGGGGCAGACGCTCCGCCCCAAGCCTTTGCCTGCAATAGATGCTGGGAAGGGATCCGAGCGCCTGTTCTCAGGGGCTGGCGGGAGGGCGTGGGGAAACTGAGGCTTTGGGAACAAACCCGAGGTCTGGAATCGAGTCCCGCCAGGATGAGGTTCAGAAGGCGTCGAGCGTGAAGGGAGTTGGAACAAGCAGAAGAGGGAAACAATCCAGCCGGGGTCTGGGGGCCCTGCACCTCCAACTCGGGTCCCCAGTGCGGCAGGGAGGGGTACAGCTAAGAGGAGGCATGAACAGGGTCCCCGGCCCCTCCTGGCCACGCCCCAAACAACTGCAGAGGGTCAAGGCCGACCGTGCTCCCTGGGCCCTTCAGGGGGCCATCGGGCAGGCGTCGCGCCCGCTCTGTCTTATGCAGCAAGAGCCCCCTCCTGGGTCCCAGCCGGACTCTCCGTCTGCACCAGATCCGGCCTTGCACAAAGCGAGGGACCTCGGACCACGTGCGCCTGGGCCGTCAGGAGCCTCCGACACTCCCACAGCTGCTTGGCCCTGCCTCCGCCGCGAGCCCCTGGGATGAGAAGGAAGAGCCTGCACCGGCTCTGGGACTCGCTGCCTTCCCTCGCCACGTGCGCCCACGCCCGCTCTGCCCACGTCCCGGCCAAGGGAGGCAGCTCCAGCCTGCGGTGTCGCTGTCAGAGTTGTCGGGGGCAGGGGTGGCTGGAGCTCGGAATCTGCTGGTGCGTTCTCCTGCAGCAGGGAGGGCCGGCCGGGGCGCCCTCACAGACAGTCCCGGCACAGGGCCACCTGGCCCTTGCGGAAGTCTCGGCAGGGACAGAGGCGGCGGTACTTGGTGCTGGAGCCGGCGCAGCTGAACAGCAGGGGCTCCTTCTGCAGGAAGCACTCCTGGCCGGGCTGGGCGAGGGCCGGGTACAGGTGGTTCGTCCCCGACTCGGTGCTGTCGCAGGGCACCTGCAGCCTGGGTGGCGCCACGGGAAGCAGCCACTCAGCCAAAGGCAGGGTGCAGGCTGCCCACCCCCGCGCCTCCCCCCTGCCAGGACCTGCCCATACCCTCCAGGGCCCCCGCCCACACCCCCTCTGCAGCCCAGACCAGCCGAACTGGGAAAGATGTTTCTAGGAGGCACCAGGACACCCACCCCCCAGCAGCTACTTCTCCCACCTGCTGAGAGAGGGGGCAAGGGGAGTGGGGGGGGCGGGGGGAGGGTGGCCCAGGCTGACCCATCAGGAATAACATTGGGAAGACGCTGAGGGAGGCACGGACAAGGGCAGGGACTGGCAGGGAGCTTCGCTCTGTGGTTTGGGGTTGAGGGCATTGCCAAGAGTGGAGCAGCTCTGACATAAGGTCCCTCCTGAGAACTGCCCCCGCCCCCGCCCCCGCCCCTGGCAGGGGACCCAGCGGGTTATGGGAGTGAGGGGGGCAGGCGAGCCTGGCTGGGCAGCGGGGGCAGGGCCGGGCAGGGCTCACTCACTTCTGGAAGGCGTCCCGGCTGTTGAGGAAGGGGAAGAAGGCGGGCTCGCAGATGAGCCCGCGGTCCAGGCAGGCATCGGTGCAGGCCCGCCCCGCGGCCACCAGCCAGGCCCGGAGCGAGTGCGCGGGCGGCCAGGCGCCGGGGGCCAGGCTGGAGTTCCGGGCCCACTCAAGGTGGGTGGCATTGGGGGCCAGGACGAAGGGGCTCTGGGGGGCTCGGGCCCCTGGCGGCGCAAGGCCTGGGGCCGCACAGAAGTCCTGCCGGGAGGAAGCAGTGTGAGCAGGGCTGCTGGGGCACGGAAGCCGCTGGCCGGCGTCCGGGGGCCTGGCAACTCCCAGCGTCGAAGCGACATCACCACCGGGAGCTCACTGAGTGCCACGTGCCCCGGACATCGGTTCATTTACTCCTCACGGCAGCCCCAGCAAGTGGGGGCTGTTTTACATGGGAGGCGTGGAGGGAGGTCAGGGCATGTGCCCAGGCCCACAGGGCTGGCTGGCATACGCGGGCCCGGGACGGGGTCAGGCTCTGCTCTGGCCACCACGCGCTGTCTGGCTGCTGGTCACACATGGGTTGCAGGCAGGGGTTCACCCCGGCACCCGCGGTGGAGAGGGACAGGGCTGGCCCCAGGGCTCTCCTGGCAGGGGCTGTACCCAGGGGCTGGCCAAGCCCAGGAGCGGCCTTTCTGGGAGCTTCGCGAGGCCGCCCCAGCCAGGCCTGGGCCCCGGCCCTGGCCCCAGCCCCAGCCCCGACCTCACCCGGCCCTCCCTCCCGGGGCCTCATCTGTGAAGCGATGGGCCACATGCACTCCCCAAGACAATGGGCAAACAGAGGCCATGTACCAGCTGCCTGAATACTTGGCGGTTGGAAGCCACCTGGCCCGGCCCCGCCGCTGGCTCCCGGACATCGCCCAGAGGCCCGGACCGTGCAAGAGCGGCGCTCAGCCCGGGCCACCCACGGCCCTCGTGGCGGCTTGACACTTAGGGGGCAGGGCCTCTGCTGTCGAGGCGGCGGCCCTTCCCCGGGGTTTCAGGACAGTGGTCTTCCTCCCCCTCCCCAGTCCCACCGCTCAGCCTTGGGGCTGTGTGTGCAGGGAGGTCTTCCCTACTTACCACTCACTTATCAACTGCAAATCTTTGAAACAACTTCTCTATATAAATATGAGAAGTCCTTGTGTCCCTGTGCTGTGCTACGGGGTTGGGGCTCTAAAGCTGGGGATCCAGGGTGGGGGCCCCCCAGGTCAGGCCTCTGACAGCGTAGCACATACAGATCACCTGCCCCCCGCCCCCCCCTGCCTCCCCCCGTCACCCCCCCCCCCCCCCCCGCTGCAGTGGGAAGGAAGAAAATGGAAGGACTGGAGAAGGAGGGCCTTGGAGAGTGGCCTCTGGTCCGAGGGGGTTTGGGGGTGGGGCAGAGCACAGACGACCCACCCACCTGGTGCTGGATGTAGGCGTGGACTCGCTCCAGCATCCCCTCACAGGTGTACTCGTAGGGCAGGTAGGGGTCTACCTGCGGGGGGCAGTGGGGGGACAGGCAGACACATGGGGCGGGAGGAGACCTGCCGCCAGGGCCTGGCCCTGCTCAGCCCTGGGAGTGGAGATCGGGCGGCTCTCGGCCCCTGCGCTCAGGGGGCCAACCATCCCATCCATGGGTCCTGCCGCCCAGATGCCCCGCTCCCCCGTGTGCCCCCCAGGGGCTCAGGCCCTGCAAGGCCGAGGCCGCCCTTCCTCCTGTGCCAGCCCCAGCCTCCTTGAGCTTCTCCCCTCACGGGAAGTCCATCCCGCCGCCGCTGCCACCCGGTCCTGGGCTCTGATGCCCTTCCTCCCACAGCCAGCCCAGCCCGATTCATCCTCCCCCTTAGAGGACACCACCTCCAGGAAGCCGCCCCTGAGCCTTACCCCTGATGGGCCCCCTTTCCTTTGTGACACCCCAGCCTTTGCCCAGAGCCTGAGTCACCGTTTCTTCACGTCTCCCAGGTTACGAGACCCTGAGGGCCGGGACTACGGTGTCACTGCTGAATGCTTGCTGCCTGGCACAGCACCTGGTATACAGCAGGCGCTCAGGCCGTAGCACCCGGAGTACGCACGCAGAGGGACCCGGGGACCCTCCCCGCCGGGTGGAGCAAGACGGCTTTTGCGGAGTTTCCTGCCCAGACCAGGCACCTGGGAGCTCCACAGGACACACCCCAAACAGAGGCCACACACTGTCCAAGTGTCTGAGTCTGAAAGCAGCCTGCGCTGGGGCCGGCGGGGCCGGCGGAGGGCGTAGCCAGGGCCCGGGAGCAAGGGGAGCAGCAGGAAGAGGTGACAAAGAGGGCATCCATGGCCTCTGCACTTCCTGCCTGTCCAACCCCTTGCTGGTCACACTGCCCCTCTCAGGCCCAGCACACGGGCGGTCCCCTTGGAGGAAACCGTCAGCCAGATGAGGACATGGGGTGACCCATCCTGAACTCGGAGGACGGTCTGTTTTGGCCTCCGACTTCCGTGCCCCCCACACATGTGCACGCTCTGGGTTGTTGGGCCTCACAGCTCCGCCCCTCCTTCCTCCTCATCAGAGGCCCTGGTGTCAGATGTCCCTGTGCTGGGTGGGTCCTGCTTCCCGGAGACCCCAGTCGCCTCGCCTCGAAGGGCTGGGGGCCTGGCCTGGACCCTCTGGCCAGCTGCACATCCCCAACACTCAGGTTGAGGAGGATCCCCGAGGAGCAGGAGCGGCCACTGCCCCTGAAGCTGGCCCTGGCCACCGGACTGATTCTCGGGACAAGACCCCAGCCGCCCGCCCTGGTGCCCAGTTCTGACTGCACCTGCACTAAGGTGGGGGCAGTTCCACATTCCCAGACAACCCCAGATCCCAAATCCAGCCACTGGGTCACAGCCCATCAATGGGGGCGGCCTCCGGCCCCAAGCCCAGCACAGCCAGGCCCCGCTCTGTCCGCCAAGGCCCCCACGAAGGCCCCGGCAGTTCCAGGACACCTCTGGGAGACGCCTCTTGGGTACCAGGCTGTGAGCCCCGGTCATAAACAAACCCCCCCAGAGAAGAGACCCCCCTTCCAAATGTCACTCTGCCTCCCCCATGGCAAATCCGTGTCACATGGTGATCCAAAGGCCTCCGTGGGAAGGGGCATCTTAGCTGGCCGTGTCCCATCTGCGTGACTCTCCCACCTGTCTAGAAATCACCCCCATTAGGTCTAATTACAGGGCGCCCAGTGACCAGTCTCGGCAGAACGGCAGGTGCTGGTCCTGCCGGGACTTGCGGGCTGCGGAAGGCATCACCCCAGACAGACAGGTGGCCACGGGCAAAGCCACCGAGGCCCGGAGACGACAGGAAGGGCCCACCCTGGACTGGGGGACAGCTGGGCTGGGTGCCTTAGGTCTCTCTCACCTGTCCTCCTCACCTGCCCTTACCCGCCGCCGCCATCCCCCCCCTTGCAAAAGGCCACATGACTTGCAGAACCAGCTGCATCCTCTCATCCTCAGAGGTGGCCCTCATCTCTCAGCTGCTGCCAGCTGTCCCCAAGTCAGGTCTCTAACACAGGATTCCTGGAACTACCCAGGGTGCGTATTTAAAATGCACACTCCAGGCCCGAGCCCTGAGGGTGGGCAAAGCCCGCCTGGTGCCCTCCTGCCCGGCCCTGCCCTGCCCTGGGTGGGGGGGGTGCTGAGGTCGGGGGGGGGGGTCGGGGAGGGGCCAGGGCTGGTTTGGAGCCCAGCTAGTTATAAGTGGCAGCTTGGCAGATTCCCAAAACCTTGGTTCCTTCAGCCTCTTGTTATTGTAATTTTTTAAATTAACAAAATTAAACTCACACACCAAAAAAAAAAAAAAAAAAAAATCCGAAAGGAGAAACAATAAAAAGGAAGTTTTCCTTCCACCCCAGGCACCTCCCGCCCGCCCCCCCGCCCCGCCCCCCGCGCCGCAGCCAGTGTCACGAATTTCGGGCTGGCACACACTCCCCTACACCTGCCCCTCGCCACATGCGCTCCCGTTCTGCTGCAAGTGGGACCTGCCCGCCACAGGCCAAGGTTGCGGGGAGCCAGGAGGCTTACTCCTCACTCAGCCACTTAACCAGTTGTCCCGGAGGTCCGGGTCCCTCCTGCCCCTGCCCCCAGGATAGGAGACTTGCAGGATGGCTTTTGCAGAGAGGAAAGAGGGAGCAGCAGGAGTGGGGGGTGGGTGTCCCCCTTCCCACAGCACCTTCCCCACGCCATCGGCCTTGTGGGGTGCCTTCTGGACCCTGGAGGCAGTGCGCTGGGCCCTGGGTGGGGGGCTGGGCGGGGCCGGGGCCCGGGCAGGGGCTGGGCGTCTCCAGCAGTGACCTCCTCGTCCTGCCCTGCGGCCCGGAGAGCCCCCCGCCCCGAGGGCGGGCTCTGGCTTGCTCGGCTCAGAAGGGCAGGGGCCGCCAGAGCGGGCAGCATGCGCACACGCTGCCTCCATCCAGCCACAGATGGAAGTTGGGGGGTGAATTCCGGTTTCCTGCTCCTCGGGCAGGGCAGTGGGGACCATGATGGACCCCACCTGTCGGAGGGCGCCACCAGCACATGCCCCAGGTGGCCTGCTCGGTAACACGCGTGTCTCACTCTGGCCCTCCGGGGCCTCCCTCCCGGCTGAGATCAGGCCTTGAGGTCTCTCAGGGAGCCCAACCTAAGACACTCCCCGTCCCCGACTGGAGAGACTAACAGCAGAGATTTGCTGAAGCAGAGGCCGAGGAGGGGAGCAGGGGGCGCTCCCTACGGCTGATGGGGGCCCCAGCTCGGCCGCTGCACAGGCCAGCCCGGCTGCGCCTGTCCCCACGGAAGGCGGGTGGGGGCTGTGACACAGCAGCGCCCCTCCGGGCACTTCTGCTAGAGGAACGCTTCCCCCAGACAGAAGGTGGGAAGGACAAGGGGGGGGCAGGTCGGGAGTTTTGGGGGACACTGGCTGAGGGGTGGCCTGCGGCTGGGGTTCCCGAGTGGGAGTGACAATACACGCAATGCAGGTGTTTGAAAAGTGCAGCCCCCCGTCGGGGTCAGGACAACGGAGCCCATCATGGTTGGAGGGGCGCTGCCAGGGGTCCAGAGCCCACGGACGGCAGAGTCCCCAGCCGCACACGCTTAGGCGGCACCTAACCTGTGCCCAAGGGCCCCGGGCTGGGCCCCGAGGCGCTCGACAAACGACTGTGGACCCAGGGCTGGGTGTCACGGGGCTGTGCAAGCTGCTGGCTGAACACAAAGGCGCCCCCGGCCCCGGCCCTACGGGCGCGCGCGCACACGTGTGCACACATGCATCGGTGAGGGGGGACCCGTGGTCAAATCTGCCAGCCCAGGCCTGCGCGTCTGAATTCGCCAGGAGGGGCCTCTTCTCTCACTCAGGGAGACCCGTGGCGCAGGCGCGCGGTGGCCTGGCCGGCCCTGAGTCGCACCTGGCTTCTCATGATGGCCTTGATGGCCGCCTCGAACTCCTCCGAGTTGTTGTAGTCCACGGTCCACACGTGGGGCTTGCCGATGAAGCTCTCCGCGTACGGGTGCTGGGAGAACACCTGGCCGGGCAGACCCACGGCTGGGCTGGGCGCGGGGAGGCGCCCCGGCCTCCCTCTTCCGGGACCGCAGGGTCCCCCCCGCCCCCGGGGCCGGGCCCTCCCCACCCACCTCTCTGGACGTGGGTTTGCCGCGGAAGAACTCGTGGTTGAGGGAGCTGTGGGGTGGGTTGAAGCGGGACTGCAGGAAGACGCAGCCGTTGGCGATGGCTTCCAGCGGCGCGGGGCCCTCGTAGGGGAAGCCGAACCCTACGAAGAGCTGAAGGGGCGAGGCGGCAGGGCGGTCAGACGGGGGAGGTCGGGCGGGGAGGAGGAGCCGGCATCACGCTGCAGCCCCGGGAGCCAGGGGCCAGGTCGGGTGGGGACTTTCCTTCTCAGGGGGCAGCGGGGGGCCCGGAAAGGCAGCCCAACTGGCTGGACACCATGGCAAACCCTCCCCTTGCGAGGCCGCGGTCCCCGCTGGGGAGACGAGGGGGTCCCATCAGGTGGTGTCGGTACCTCCTCCTGCTCTCGTGGGCTAGGGCTCCAGGGCAGAGGGGAAAGAGCGAGGGTCTCAAGCTGGGAAGGTGTGGGAAGACCCTCACCGGCTGGCTGCCGACCTCAGAGGACCCTGACTCACTCACCCCACACTAGCTCAGCACCCCCGTCAGGCGCCCCGGGCGGGCTCCCAGGAGAGCTCCACACAGGGCCGCCGCGGAGGGCTGTCCGGGGTGCTCACTGTGCACAGGCGCCCTTCCCCCACCCCCACACGTGTCCACTCCCGGAACGTCCGAGAAGCGTGGGGGGCCAAGCTGTGCTGAGGTCAGCAGAGGACCTGGCAGCTGGCTGGGGACACTCTGGCCTCAGCCGACACTTGAGGGCCCGCCAGCGAGCTCATGCCTGCGCCAGCAGCTGCTTCGTGGAGGCCGCTCGGGGACTCCAGGGCGTCGGTCAGAGCTCATGGCCCGCAGGACTCCAGCCAGGAGCCCCCATCCCCCGGATCGCCCCCTGCCCTCTCTGAAAGCCAGGCCGCGCAGGGCTCCGCTGGGCTGGGTGGCACTGACGGGGGGCGGGGGGGTGGCCCGAGTCCACCTCCCCATCACTGAGCCCGTCACTGTGCGGCCTCTGCTGCCTGGTGGCTGCTCCCAGCTCGGCCCAGCCCCCAGGGGGCCTGACATGGAGCCCAGGACAGTGGAGCAGCTGAGGCCCCTCCACTCACGGACGGAGCCAGGAGTGGGGCCGGCAGGCGCGCAGGGTGAGGGGCGGGCTTGCCTTGGCCTTGCGCAGCAGCTGCTGGAACTCGGGCTGCGGCAGGAGGCCGTGGTTCTTCACGAAGGCAGGGACCTCGGGGGGCCTCTGGCTTTCGTAGTACACGGTGCCGTGGACCTCCATGTGCCTGCTCAGGATGCCCAGGACCTTCTCCTTGCCCTGCAGGGGAAGAAGCGGGGAGATGGAGCCTCGCCCCAGCCCCGGGGGCAGAGCCTGCAGGAACCGCAGCCCCTCTAGGAAGTGGGAAGAGGCGTGGTCAGCCCTAGGGCAGCAGCCAGCCAGCTGTGGGACCCGGGCTCCTTCCCTCTCTGCCCCGTGAGCTGCGGAGGCCCGGCCAGCCCAGGGCTGCAGCGCTAGGTTTAGCTGTGAAGCTGCTTTCTTTCCAAAGAAACCCTGTGGGGACCAACGTTTAAATGCATCCAGGTGGAGCTGCTTGGCTTCTGCTGAACCCATGGCGACCTCCAAGGGCCTCTGAGGAGGTGTGGAACTCTCTGGAGCCCGGACAATCCATTTTTTACCCACCCATCCCTTCACCCTTCCCTCTATCCATCCACGTTCCATCCATCCACATTCTATACATCCACCCTCCGTCTATCCATCCACCCTCTGTCTGTTAATCACTGCTTCCCTCCCTCTCTCCCTCCCTCCCAGCAAGCACATCGCTGAGCCCTGCTCTGCACTGGCACTGAGCTCGGAGCTGGGAGCACAGCAGCAACAAGACAGAGCGCCTGTCCTCGTGGAGGACGCCTGGGAGCGGGGAGGCTGCGGACTAGCAAAGGCTCAGCCTCTCTAGACCTGAGAGCCCCAGATCCAGGCTCCGCTCCCCCTCCAGCCCGAGGGGGCTGGAAGCAGAGCCCGCCAGCAGGGGAAGGGGACAGAGGGAGGCAGAGCACAGGTGAGGAGGTGAGAGCTCAGCGTCAGAGCCCCCGCTGACCTTGCATCCAGGACCCGGAGCCTGGAGCTGTGGTCAGTGTAGGACCTCAACAGGGACAAGCACGAATCTGCCGCTGGGCTCTACTTCTGGGCAGGGCGGCGGCGGGGTGGGGGGTGGTATGTTGAGGCACAGCGAGGAAGGCGTAAGCTGCGAGGACCTTCAGATCAAGGAGAAGGCGGGGCACGGGGGCAGGGGAGGGGCTCGGAGAGAAAGAACCCCCGTTTCCTGGGCCTGCTGGCTGGCCATGGAGGTGGACAGCAAGGAGCGTCTGCCCAGGTTCAGCCTGTAAACCACAGCTCTTGAAGACTTTTTCAATGGAGATCAAAATAATTAGCAAGTCATACTGTGAAACTCAAAAACTACACATTTTTTTTTCTTTTACCAGGGGGCCCTGAACTTGTGAATGCGGATCAGCCCAGCCTCTGCGAGCAGCCGGGACAGATAGAGCCACGGGAAGGCATCTGCGAGGGCCCTGAGACTCTCACAAGCGCAACGGTGCCAAGGCCAAGATCCAGAGCAGGAGGGGAGGCTGGCGAGGCCAGCGTGGGGGTCGGCTTGCCCCCGGGGCACCTGCTGATTCCAGGGGCATCACCCACATGGGGGAGCAGAGTTTCTGGCCACCTTGCAGAGCTGGGGGACAAAAGGCAGAGTTCCGGGCCTGACAGAGAGGGAGCCCCACGCTCTGCCGGAGCTCCGAGGGGTGGCACCTGGAAGAAGGGGAGGGGCGGGGCTCGGGACACCCTTGCAGGGGCGGATCCATTGGGAATCATCGCAGCCCCTGCCACGGGCCAAGGTGACCGGGGACTGAGAGGCCACAAGCCCAGAGTGAACGTGAACCCTCACGGGAAGAAAAGAGCGTCATCCTTGACCTCTAACGACCTCTACCACTTTGCATACTCATTTCCCAGAACTTCAAAACATCATCAAAAGTAACCAATGGAATCCCAATCAAAACCCCGGCAGGCTTTCTTGTGGAAATTGACAAGCTGATTCTAAAATTCATTTTAAAATGCAAAGGACCATGATTATACAGAACAACTTTGGAAAAGAAGAACAAAGTGAACAGGCATATTACCTGACTTCAAGACTGATTATGAGGCTGCAGTAATCAAGACGGCGTGATATTGGCATCAAGAGAGACAGATCAATGGAACAGAACAGAGTCCAGAAATAGATCCATGTGTGTATGATCAATTCATGTTTGACAAAGGTGCAAAGACATATCAGTGGAAAAAGAATAGTCTTTTCAAAAAATGGTCCCAAAACACTGGATAACCATATGCAAAAAATAAAAAAGGGAAAAGGAATGGAGCTTCGAGTCCTCCTTCATGTCACATATAAAAGTTAATTCAAAATGGATCATAGGCTTACCTGTAAAACCTAAAACCATAAAACTCATAGAAGTAAAAAATAGGAGAAAAACCTCCTTGGGTTGGACAACGGTTTCTTGGAGACAGAATCAAAAGCACAACCCGTAAAAGCAAGCACCAGGCTTCATTACAATGAAGAACATTGGCTCTTTGAAAGATGCTGTTGGGGAAACACAAGCCACAGACTCGGAGAAAAGATTTGCAAAGCATATACTTGATAAAGGACATATCCAGGATGTAAAGAACTCTAACAACCCAGTAATAAGAAAATAAACAACCCAACTTTTTAAATGGGCAACATTTTGAGAAGACCCCTCACCAAAAAAGATGAATGGAAGACAAACACACAAATACGTCCTCAACGTCACTAGCCATTAGGGAATCACAAATGAAAACCGTGAGAAGATGCCGTGGTACAACTGATAGGATGGCTAAAATTAGGAAGACTAACCATAGCGAGTACTGAACTCTCATCCTTGCTGGTAGAACGGTAAAACTGGACAAGTACTTCTCTTAAAAAGTTAACCAGTTAAATAGTTCCACAAGATCACCCAGCCATCCTACTCCTAGGTACTCAACCAAGAGGAATGAATACGTACGTCCATTCAGAGATTTGCACATCGAAGCTCATAGCAGCTTTCCCAGTAAGAGTCAAATACTGGGAACAGCCCAAATGGCCATTAACAGGTGAATGGATATCCCTGGCTGGTGTGGCTCAGTGGATTGAGCGCCAGCCTGCAAACCAAAGGGTCATTCGTTCAATCCCCAGTCAGGACACATGCCTGGGTTGTGGGTCAGGTCCCCAGCAGGGGGTGCACGAGAGGCAACCACACGCTGATGTTTCTGTCCCTCTCTTTCTCCCTCCCTTCCCCTCTCTAAAATAAATGAAATCTTTTTTAAAAAAATAGGTGAACAGATAAACAAAGTGTGGTATATCCATACCACAGAATAGTGTTCAGCAATGAAAAGGAATAAAGTATTGATACGCGTGCAACAGCATGGATGAATCGCGAAATAACTATCCTCGGGAAGAAAATCCACACAAAAATGAGTATGTGCTATATGATTTCATTTATGTAAAATTATAGAAAATGAAAAATAACCTATTAGTGGCAGAGAGCAGATCGCTGGTTGCTGGGAGAGGAGGAGGAGGAGAGACGGGAAGAAAAATCCCGGGCGGGGGGGATCTATTCGCTGTTATGACTGTGGCGATGGCCTCACAGGCGTGTATAAACACAGGTTAAAACATACAATTACACATTTTAAACATGTTTAGTGTACTGCTTATCAATTCCACCCCAAAAAAGCTGATAGAACACAGATTTTTAATTAAAAAATTTAAAAGCCTTGATTAAAAAAATCAAATACATGAGGAGACAAGACTGTGATTGAAAACCAAGAGAAACAGTCAATAAGGACAGAGCCATAAGCGATCTAGAAGCTGGACTTAGTTACCAGATACAGAGTTCAAGATAAATTTGTTGAATATAGTCAAAGAAATAGAAGTTAAGCCTTGAACCCAAATGGAAATTCTAGAAATTAAAATTACAATGACTGCAATGAAGAACTAAATGGATGGGTTTAACAGCAGGTTAAACACAGGTGAAGAGAATTCATCTAGTGAAAGAACAAAAGGAAACATCCAGAATGAAGCACAGAGCAATTAAAGGTGGAAATTAGGAAATTACAGGGAAGTATGTCAGCTCTAATGGTTGTGTGGATGAAGTCTGAGAAGTAAAGGAGAGATCGGGCCGGGAGCAATGTTCAAAGAGAAGAGCTGAGAATTTTCCAAAAGCAGCGAAAGATCAAACCGCAGACTCACAAAGAGCCATGAGCTCCATGTGGGATACATCCAGAGAAGCCCACATGGAGGCCTATCATAGTAACGCTGCGGAAAACCTAGCGGGAAGTGGTGCCAGAGGCAGAGAAAAGAAACAAATTACCTTCAGAGGCGTCACCGTAGATGTACGCTGACTCCTCAAGAGAAATGATGGGAGCCAGAAGACAACAGAACATTTTCATGATGTGAAAGAAAGTGACCTCCAAGTTGAGATTCCATACATGGCAAACATATCCTCCAAGAACACAAATGAAATAAGGGCATCTTTAGAAAAAATGTGAGGAAGTGAAAGTACAATAAGAGCTTATAAACTAGAGCAAAAATTTTCAATCTTTTTTTATCTCATGGCATACAAACTAATTACTAAAATTCTGTGGCACACCAAAAAAAAAAAAAAAAAAATGTTTTGTTGCTATGACAAAAATATAGGTATAACTTTGATTCATTCAACCCCGATGGCTATTGCTGCATTGGCTGTTGCCATTTTCTAATTGGACAATCTAAGGGAAATGAGGCCGGTGCCCCTGACTAGGTAGGCAGGTGCTGCGTGTTTTAAAAATCCTTGTGGCACACTGGCTGAAAAATCCCTGAGCTAGAGAGATACAATTAAAGTATGCTAAGGTACATTTTATTATCTCATAAAAGGTGAAAGCGTTGATTTATATTGGACTTTGATAAATCAAGGAAGCATGTTATGATCGTTAGGGTGGCCGCTAGGAGAGCGTGAGAGTGTGATTAGTCAGCTAATGGGGCCTGGACTTAAAAATATGTGTCAGTGCAAAAGCAGATAAGAAATGAGGGGAAAAAGGACAACAGGCCAGAAGAAGAAACAGAAACCAGTTAGCAAGATGGTGGACTCTATGCCAAACGCATCGGTCATTGCGCTGAAAATACAAGGACTATTTATTTTAAAACATAATTACTCTCATAGGAAAGAAATCAAGTCAACAGCAACAACAGAGTATGAAGAAAGGGTGCCTGAACCCTCCGATTCAACGTCCTAGTCCCATTACCGGACGTAGCTGTCTTTAGCCGCTTCCCGCTCTCACACGTCATGAGCACACAGCCATTTCCTTTAAAACGCACACACAAAAGGGGTCGTGCTGCCTGAACTGTACAGCAACTTTAACCACCTGATCTCACACACACACACACACACACACACACAAAGTTTCACAAAATCATATTTACTCTTAAGACACAGAAGGTCCTCTAACGTTCTTTAATTCTATTACTCCTGTTATTCAGTTTCTTTTTAAAAGGCTAGTTAAGACTCTGAGTTGAGAGAAAACGTCAAATACTGTATCATCTCGCTTACATGTAGAATTGAAAAAGTTGAACTGGTTGGCGCAGAGAGGACAGCGGCGGTCGCGCGGGGCGCGGGGTGCAGGAAACGGGAGACACCGGTCAAGGGGCCCTTGCTGGCGGTGGTCAGGCGGGTAAGCCCAGGGCTCAGCCTGGTGACTGCAGTTAATCACGCTGCCTTGCACTCTTGAAATTTGCTGAGAGTAAACCTGAAGAGGTCTCTCCGCGCCCAAACGCAGGGTAATTATGCGAGGTGATGGGCGCGTTAAGTAGCCCAATTGCGGCGCTCACTTAGCAATAGGCACGTCTATCAAGCCGCCACGCTGTGCACCTTAGGTGTAGACAGTTTTTCTCTGTCAATTTACTCCTCAGTAAAGCTGAGCAGCAGACACCCAGAGCTCTGAGCAGATGTCACGACCTATCCGTGGACTGCAACCTACAGCCCGGCTCGGGCAGGCGGCTGAGGCCTGGACGTTTCTTCCAGCCGAGAGCAGGGTCGGTCCGGCGACCGGCCAGCGGCCTCCGTCCGTCCCTCACCCCAGCTCCCTGGGACCTCGCGCTCTAACGAACAGCACCTGAGCCGCAGCATCGCTTCCCTGGGTGCAAGATACGACAGGCCTCCTTGCACAATCGCCGTGGAAACCCTCGCCCTGACCCTGCCTGCTGCCCCCGTGGGATGCGGTCAACTCGCGAGCCCCTCCCTCCGCCCCCTCCACTCCTCGGCGGCCTGGACCCTGGACCCCGGACGGCACAGGTCCCCGGATGCTGCTTTCATTCTCTCACCCGGCCACCTCTGACTCGCTTGGGCCCCGAAGGCCAGGGCCAGGCTGTCTTTTTTGGAAACAGCTTCTTCAAGGCCCTCTGCTGACCAGCGTCACTCCTGGCTATCAGAGAGTCTCAGAGCTGGAGAGAAAACCTTTCTCTTCCTGGACTGCAGAACCTCTCGTTCTCGGGGAAGTCTCTTAACAGTGTTTTCGGGTAAAAGCAGACAGCCTGGGCCCTCCTCTTCCCCAGTGTCCTGGGCTTCTGTAGCAGCCGGCTCGCCAGCCATCCTAGGGAAGGACCTCTGGTCCCGCTCCCCACACCCCGTGGTGGGCGCCCAGAGCGCAGCCGGGTCTGGGCCCTTTCCTCCTGCCCCCGGAGCTTCGCTCCGCCCTTACCCAAGGCTCCATAACTGGGGAGAGTTGTGGAGTCGGAGTTAAGTGTCTGGGCTCGGGAGTTAGATGAGGGTTCGAATCCCAGCCCCGGCTGTTACTAGCTTGTCCCTCTAACTTCCTGAGCCTGGTTGCCTCATTTGTACATGGGCGTGACAACATGTGCGGCAGGTAAGCGAGCACCTAGTGAGCTCTGGGTGGACGAATGCGTGAGGTTGTGGCGGCACCGACCGTGAGGTGTCCCCGTCACGTCTCCTCCCTCCTCCTTCCCGAGTCACACAAAAATCAGAGCTGAGCTCCAGGGTCCCCCGAAACAGGGCAGGGCCCAGGGCTGGATCCAGCCGGGGTCGGCGTGGCGAGGAGATGCATGTAACATCCTAAACATGGCCCCTCTCAGCTCCTCCTCCTCCTCCTCACTGCCCGGGGGACACATGGAGCGGCTGACATGTTTGTGGCCATCTTGAACCACGAGACCAGACTGGGGGGGGCGGCAGGGGGTGGAAACTAAAGCGGGGGGCAGGTTGATGGGGTGAGAAGAGCCCAGGAAATCCATACAGTCCTGGCCCGACAACTCCAGAGCCTTTGAATGGCGAGGAAGAGACGTCCACCTTGCCTACGTCACTGTCTGCCGAACCAATCCCAACCAACACCGCGTGAGGACCGTTAAGGAAACCACACGACAGGCAGGCCTAACCTAGGGCACAGGCGCTGGTCAGTGCCGTCGTCACTCTGCTGCCTAAGGTCAATAACCTGTCCTGCCTGCCCCCTGAAAAGCCCACCCTGTCCCCCTCCTCCCCACCGCGGTCCATCCACAGGAGCCGCGAACCCCAGCAAGCCCCCCGGGGGCACCCCCGGGGAGACCTATGGGGGTCGGGACCGGAAGAGAGGGACATGCAGCAAACAGTCACCGTACCTGGAGCTGCCTCGTTGCCAGGGGCGCAGAAAAAGAGGAGAGAGAGCAGGTCGGTGAGCAGGCGCCCTCCCCCGCGGGCGCTGCACGGGGCCCCGCCCTGAGAATGGGGTTCCGGGCCCTGGCCCTCTCCTGCCTTCTCCTCGGTGGCCCCCCCGCCCACAGAGGCCCAAAGGTTGGTCTACACCCTCTTCGTGGGGCCGACAGTGTTTGTGGATCCATCCTAGGGAGGTGGAGGGGTAAGTCACAGTCCTCAAGAAGGGACATTTGTGTTTGTGGCAGAGTGGGGGTGGGGAGAGGGAAAAGGTACCAGCCTCCTGGCTGGTATTTCCTATGGCAGCTGAGGACCTCTTTTCTGATCCATTGGCGGGGGACGTTTTCCGCTGTGCAGTGCGGGGGCGGGGGTGGGGGTGGTAGGTGGAGCCGAACCCTGGAGGGGACGGGTGCTGGGGGCCAGGAGGGGCGGCCGACAGGCGGGGCCGGCGCACGCAGTGCTCCACTGCTCACCTTCCAGATGCTCGCCTCCTTGCCGTACACCACGGCCATGTTGTTGGCCTTGCCGCCTTTGATGAGCTGCTTCTCCGTCTCGCTGAGCTCCTCGGACACGAAGCCCATGAAGGAGTTGTCCGGGGTGTGAGCTGCGGCCAGACCACAGGTCGGGAGGGGTCAGCAGATGGCCAAGGACACGCCGGGCCTCCTGGGACCGGCCCCATGGGAGGGTCCCCGTTTGGCAGCGACGGGATGGGGGTCAGGGTGAAGGGTCTCGTGGGGAGAGGGGTGGATGACCCTGGGCGCCCCTGCTCTCAGAGGCGGTCACAGAACCTCGGGGCAGAAGGGAGCCTGAGAGCTCGCCTGGCCCCCCTTGCTTGTTTTTCAGACAAGGAAACTGAGGCGCAACATGGGCACAGCCAAGGGCCCCTGCAACCCTGCCGGGACCCTGCTGTCCTCAGAGCCCACCTTCCCTAGTTCGCTCCTGCCAGAGGGAAGCTTAGGCTCCTCCCTTTTCCCTCAGCCCCCCACAGCATCCCCCCGGCCCAGCGCTCCCTCTAATACAGGTCTCTGCTCACCCGGCTCTGTCCCCTTACCCTTCTTTCCTGTCATGGTGCTCACTGACCAGACGCTGCACCTTACATGGACTTGTTCACGTGTAACTGTCAGACTAGGAGCCCCCGAGCACAGGAGCTCTGCTTTGTTCACGTCCGTGTCCCAGGCACCTGGGAGAACTGAGCCCGCTGGTTCCTGAATGCAGACACACCGCCCCCTTCCCAAGTGCTGCCACCTGCCCTGCCGTCCCCTCTGCCTGGAGTGCCCTCCTCCCCTTCTAGGGGAGAAACCCTATCAGCCTTCCAGTCCCCGCTCCCAGGCCACGCCCTCCCCTCCTGGAAACCTTCGCTGGGTCCTCCCTTTGTGGCCCTGTCCCGTGTCCCCGTGGCCAGGTCTCCATTAGAGCGCAGAGCGTGCTCCGACTCGCTGGGGCCGGAACCCAGCGCGCCGGGGCAGACGCCGAGTCTGGGCCCCCGTTCCAGTTGCTCGGCCGCGCTGGAGCGCAGTCCCAGATGAGTGCCTGCCCCATGTGGCAGGCATGGCCATGTAGGACAAGTGCTGTCATTTGCAAGGCACAAGGTCCCTCCCTCCGTGCAGAGGACCGTGAACAGAATACTGATGGGAGCCCATTAAATCTCGTGCACCTTCCAAGTGGGAGAGGCGGCGGCTGGCAGGTTGCAGCAGCCGCACAGCCTTCCCAGAACAGCCCCGATGCCGAACACCCAATCTCTTCATTTCCAACGCGCGTTTTTCACATTCCGGCCTTTCTGAGACTGGGACATGTACCAACTCCAACGTGTGGATTTAATGTAGCATTTCTAACCCCACCCCGATACCCACGAAAAGCCATAACCAGTGTTTGCTGCATCTGACAAGAGGTGAGTGTCCCGTTAAAGTGCTCAGGTTTTTTCTTAGGACTGAAAACTGTGTGGAAGGCGTTTGCCGGTCACAGGCCACCGGATCTCTGCTCTGAGCTTCAGAGGCATGAGCAGGGCCCCCGGGGCCGGGAGCGATTTCTGCGATGGTCAGGGCGCCCGGCAGCACCCCCCGCACTCCCTCCCTGTCTCTGGAGGCTCCCTGATGCCACGTGCCCGCCCTCCCGCCATCCCTCTCCCTGACGCCACTTTTAGGACACAATTAGCTAAGCAACTAGTGGGCGTGGGCCAGGAAGTACGGCAACCAGTTGAAGTAACAGGGACCTGAGTGAGGCACAGCTTCTGGGGCCGGGGCCGGGGCCGGGGAAGGGGCCGGGCCAGGGGAAGGTCGGGAGCAGCACCCAGCACCCCCATTCTCCGCCCGCCACCGCCCCCCCCCCCCCCCCGGCTCACAGGCTAGCTGGGGAAAGACGTCTGCTGTTGTTAAAAACTGCCTGCCTCTCTGGTTTTTGGTTTTTCTTTCTTTAATTGATTCAACCAATTAACATTTTCTGAGGACCTCGATAGCTCTAGGGAAATAAAGATAAATCAGTCGGCAGCTCCTTTTCCAGTGATTCACCATCTATCAGCGGAAATAAATGTACTAGCAAATAGCTCTCATACAATTCAATACATGCTTTAACAGAGTCAGGGGTACTTAAGAATTATAAAAACATTCTGCCTGGACAGGAGACGAGGGGGCCAGTGAGAGTGATGGCAAAGAGGGGACATTGGACTAAGGGTTTTGGAGGATGAGTAGGAGTTGGCCAGGTGTGGGCCTCCACGTCCCGAGGGCGTCCCGCAGGACAAGTCCCTGAGTGCTCAGTGTAGATTATTACAGAAGCCTCTAGCCCACCTTGGGCTTCCCCCCTCCACCACCGGCCCCCTGGCCATCGGCAGTCGGCCAGGACACCGTGCCATCTCCTAGCTCAGGAACCTCCAGGGAACCTTGAACGATGGTATCCAGTGTCAACTCAGGACCCTTTGCTGAAACTGAACCACCCCCCCCGCCGACTCTGTTCCCTAGGCCTCCGAGTTTTTCGCCAGCCTCCTAACTCGCTGCTTCCCTTCCGAGGGAGGAGACAACCAGGACTCTCGCCTTCGCAGTTCCTCTCTGCATCACGGACACTGTTTCCGCCCTGGAGCGCCCCGCTCCCCCGCCACACACTGTCCTTCCCTTCAGAGACCCACCCCATGCCAAGCACTCTCCTGGGGGCACAATGTCACCAGATGACCTGTAGGGACAGTCACCCTTCCTCTCTTAGAGAAGCTTCACGCAACCGTGCATTGGCCCCTGGGGAAGGACTCTGGTCCCCACAGGGCTGTGTGACCTCAGCTGGGACACTCTACCTCTCTGGGCCTCAGTTTCCTCATCTGGGCTCCAAGGAACGTTCCTGCCTTCCCAGCCTCCTGGGATCCATTCAAGCCATTGCTCATATTCCCAGAAGCTGCAGCTGCCTCTAACACGGCCTAGCACCGGGAGAGCATGTCCGAAGAAGACCCTCAGCGCCCAGGAGAGAGGCTTTCAGTGGACAGACCAAATAAAGATCAGCTTCTTTTGCCCTGGCTGGTGTGGCTCAACCTGGATTGAGTGCCAGCCTGCAAACCAAAGGGTCGCTGGTTCGATTCCCTGTCAGGGCACATGCTTGGGTGGTGGGCCAGATCCCCAGCTGGGGGCCTATGAAAGGCAACCAGCAAGCCATCGATGTTTCTCTCCCTTTCTATCTCCCTTCTCCTCTCTCTGAAAATAAATAAATAAAATCTTTAAAAAAAAAAAGGATCAGCTACGTTTCTCAAGGCAGGTTCCTCGGGACCCTGCTCGGAACCAGGTCTGCCCTTCATTGAGGCCCAGGCCTGGGGGTGCTTATCTGGCTCTCCGACCCGGGGCCTTCAAAGGGCTGCGAATCAGATGCGCCAGGGGCTGCTGGAAGCAGACCCTCTGACGACGAGGACAAGTGACAGCCCCCGCTCCCAGCAAGGAGGGAAAAGCACCCCTTCAAACGGCACCCGGAGAAGGGGCCCGTTGCTCCCACACCTCGGCCACCCCGGAGGGCAGGCCCCGCTGCCAGCGAGACAGAGAGCTGACCTTGGGTCGTCAGGAAAAGTTAAATGATTTCCAGGGCACTGCAGTTAAGGGGCCGAGTCAGTGGGTGCCTATGTTTCAGAGTCTCATTAAAAAGAGCTAAACTCAGCTCTCACTGCATTGCTCGCCGCACGCCCAGCATCCGAGGGTTTCCACACACAGGGGCCCAGCCTCTCCCCGCAGCCTCCTGCCCCACTGTCCCCTGTGCTGGAGCTCTTGCATTTCCAGAACCTTCCACTGCTTTCTACATCCATTTCACTACATCTGTTCCTTCCGCTTGGGAAAGCTGCCGGTCCTGCCCCTTCACCGCCCAGTCCACTTTTGGCCTCTTTTTCTGGAAGGCCATGGAATCCTCCTGTCCTGGAGGGCAAAGGCCAGGTCCTGCGGGTGCTGGAAAGGTTGCAGCGGGCGCTTCTCCACAGCCGGCCTGGACGCCCCGCCCCCGCTCCCTCCAGCCCCGCCCTCGGCAGGGACACTCACGGAACATGGTCATGAACTGCTTGGGGTTGAGGTTCCAGTAGCCCCAGTTGGTCCGGTAACCGTGGAGCGTGGCGTACTCCTCGTGGTTGTACGCGGGTTCCGTCCCGAAGGTGTCGATGACCCGGATGCGGCACCTGCCCCAGGGGACCAGGAGCAGAGTCAGCAGCCTCAGTGTCCCCTTGGGCTGGGGTTGTCCCAGCCGCGGGCGCTGTAACCGGCCAGTGGCTGGTCAGGGTAGCACAACGCGAGGTCAGAGCTCAGCCGCAGGCGCGACCTGGCTGTGCGACCGCAGGCGGGCCCTGGAACCTTTCCGGGCCAGCTTCCCTGTCCGTCCGGCGGGGGATAACAGCAGCCAGCCACTTCCGGGCCACGCGGAGGGCCCTGGGCCGCGGACCACAGCTGCCCAGGGAGCCTCGGAGGGGAGACGCTGCCGGAGTGGGGGCCCGCCACACTGCCCCACGGGTCCCCTGTACGATTTGCGGTTTCCTGGGAGCAGCAGTCGCTCCGGTCCACAGCCCCCGCCCAGGAGCCGGCCACCCCCAGGCCGGGCTTAGCCGATCATCCCAGCTGAGGGGCAGAAGCGCCGGGCCCAGGGGGACCAGCTGCTGTCACCGGCACGCCTTTGGGCAGGCAGTGCCTCCAAGGGCCCTCTGGGAGCCTGGCCTCTTCAGGTGGACCTCCCAGCTGAGGCTCTGTCCCAGACTGAGTCTGCTCCCCATGGCTGTGTCCCCTGACCTGTCCCACCCCCAGGAGTGGGCCCCTGAGACTCAGAAGCCCCCACAAGGAGCTCCCTCACCCCACCTCCTTCCCGGGGACCCAGAACCGTCCACGGACTGCTGAGGTCGGCACTATAGCCCCAGAGAAGGGGCGGGGGGAGGGGAAGAGGAGGCGCCGTGCATGGAGAACATGCATTAATAATAAAAGCAATAACGCTGCCTGTCACTTTTTCCCCCTAATAAAATCATGTGGGAGAGTCCCTGAGACTGGAGCAAATGTAATAAATAGCAGGGCTCTCTGTGCTAAATTAAACCCGTGTCCTCCTCGCTGCAGAGACCAGAGCGATGGCACTGGCCTTTCTCAAGGGACGGGGCTGCTGGGCCCACACTGCAGAGGTCACAGAGGTCACAGTGCCGTCCGCTGTCCGCTTCCCTTCTACCCGCCCTGCGCTCCTCCCTGCCCCCTGCGCCTCAGCCCGCCACGCAGCCGAGGGGCACCGGGACCGCTCCCTGTGGGTCCCTGTCACACTGGGCCAGGAGGCAGAGCTCCTCAGGGGAGGGAAATGGCGGGGCAGGGGCGAGGGGGCAGAAGACAGAGAGGCCTTCCCACCCCCCGGCAGAACCCGGGTCCAGGCAGCCCTCCGGGCCTGGACCAGCGGGCAGCCGGACGCCGGGCAGGGCGTGGGGGCTGCCGTGAGCGCCACCGCCCTCCGTGGCCCTCGCCCGCTCACCGGTACTTCTTGAAGGACAGCCCCATGTGCTGCTTCATCTGCTGCAGGCCGTGGTAGTCGGTGTAGATGAGGTCGAAGGGCAGGGGCACGGTCAGCGGGCAGTTCCCCCGGCCTGGCGGTACCCCTAAGTTACTGAGAGAAGAGCCCTTCAGAGTCTGAGCCCCAGAGCACCCACAGGCTGCAGGAGCCCACCTGCCCAGCCGGCCCTGTGTCTGGAGGACCCGGAACCCCCCGCCGGTTCCCACAGCCCAGGGTGATGAGGGGCGGGGGGCTGTGGGAGGCGAGTGGGCGCATGGCACGGGCCGATTCTTGGGAAGGCGGCTGTGTACGGGGCGCAGGCTCCTCACTGCACAGGAGGCCCCAACGAGGGGCAGGCAGGACCGAGATCCGGTGCGGGCTCAGCTGCCACGCATGCCCCTGGCCTGGGCCACCCGCCTGCCAGGGTGCCTTTTGCTCATTCCCACAAACAGAGTGACCCGCAGGACCGTGCCCACCTGAAGGGGCGCCTCTCACGTTCCCAAGGAGCCATGAGTGCCCGCTGCGGTCTCAGCGCAGCGGCTGCGTTTGCAGCTGAGGTGGCCCAAACCCCATCTGCCTCAGGCGTGTCGTTCTGTGCTGCTGTCGGGCACCTGCCCGCGGAGATGCCCGGCCCCGCCCCCTGGCCGCCCTCTCATTCACCTGAGCATTTCATCTGGCACAGAGCTGCCTCGGGGGCCGCGGCCGTGGGGCGTCTCACCGGCGGCAGCCGCCCCCACCCCGTTCCCATCTCCCCGGGTCCGTGGCCCGGGTGCCCGCTGGAAGGCGTCCATGGGACACCCTCCCCCTCCCCCAGGAGCCTCCGCAGGGACTCAGGCTGTGAGCAGACGCGGGTGGGAGGGGAGTCCGGGCGCAACGAAGGCATCCCCGGGCCTGAGCTCCAGGGTGGACGGGCTGGTGGCCTTGCACCAACACTGAATCCCCCCGCGGCGCCTCCACACCCCGCTGCGATGCTTGGGCGGCCCGCCACGGTCCCTGCAGGCCACAGATCCTCCGGTTTTACCTCTCCCTGTGCCTTGGGTCCGTGGCTGAAAATAACCCCCCCAGGTCGTGCTCCAATTCTTGAACAAGTGGCTGCCTCCCTCTCTCCCTTCCCTGCGTGGGAAGGGCCTGATTAAAAAGCAGCCCTGCAAAGGGCCCCAGTATCGCGGGCTCCAGGCGCTGCCGTGCGCCCGGGGGCTCGGCCTCCCAGGCTCTGTGCCGCCGCAGGGGCGCGGCCGTCCCTCCGGCCCCGCCCAGCGCCCGTCTCCCGAGCACCGGGCACTGCCCCATCTCTGTCCCCCGGCCCGTTACTAGAGCAGCCACCGCCTCTTCCCAGCAGCAGGAGGGGATGCGAGGGCGGCCGGAGAGTTAGCTGGGCAGCTAATGAGCTGCGTTAGGAATGGGGTTGGATCACTAACAGCAGTTTCTGTAGGTTTTGCTCTCAGGCCATTTTGCCCATCGCTTGGCGATTTCGCTGACGCCGGCGCGGGGCTGCCCTCGGCTGCTGAGGGGCTGTCTCCAACCTGGGCCCGGGGCCCATCGCCCCCTGCCATCCACGTGGGCACCTCTAACCCAACATGTCTGAACCCAAATTCAAGGTCTGCCCCGGAGTCCCCCAAACCCGAGCTTCTCTCTTCTTCTGCCCTCAGAGAATGGCCGCACGGTCCACCCGGGGGCTGCTTGGAGCTTGCTAGTTCCGCCCGGCTCGGCCTGCGTCAGAGCCTGACCCGAGCGGGTTCAAACCCGGCTGCCTGTGTCGGCCGGCCCCGCAGAGGGTTTGCCGGCTGCAGCTTGGCCGAGCTGGGCCGAGCAGCATGTGGGCCCTGCTTTACTCCATCTCTGGAGACCTTCACCGGTGTTTCCCTTGAGCACACCCCGAACAAACAAAAAGGCCAGGACACAGATTTTCACCGGGGCCGCACGCTCCACGCCAAGGGTTCCCCCTCCTTGACTCCCTTCCTCAAACGCTCTGCTCTCCAGCTTCCATCATTTGCCAGTTAAGTCAACTAATTTTCTACAAAACCCGATTTCACTCATGGGTGGAGGAAGAAAGAGCTCAGTAATTTTTCCTCATGCCATGTACTATTAATGACGCTTGAAATTATGCAAATAAAATTGATGCACACAGCCAATTCTGAGAGTGCGGAGAGGAAGGGCTCAACTTTAACACGCCTGCTACGGATCCGGGCACTTGTGAGGGCAACACGGGCTGCGGCCGCCGGGGCTCCGGCCTCGCCCCTCCTCCTCCCCGCCGCGCGCGGGCGGTCACGGGCTGGGCCGCCGACATCCCCCCTCCCACCCCGGAAACCTCGAGCTGCAGCAAAGCCGGCTGCGGGCTCTGCGCATCGCCCCCAACATCACTCCAGTGAGCCAGTTAATTAAAACACCGAAACGCGAGGAGCAGAGCAAAGCGGCGCCTCCGTCCAGCTCTGCTGCTTCGTCGGTGGCCAAGACATCTGCTGCGAACATCTGTGAATAAACTGCAACAAACGTACAGGCAGCGTCTTTGTCCTGCGGCCTTCCCCACACGGGTCATTTCGCCAGCCCGGGGAGACGTTTCTGCTGCAGACGCCAAGCTGCGACTTTCAGAATTCAGATTACCTTCACATCCCGTTGACCTATTTTCAAATTAACCTGGTGCTGCTCCCATGGAACGGCTCCCTGAGGCTGGAAGATGGGGCGGGCGGGGCTCTGCCTCCTCCGGCAGAGCCTCGGCGACTGACGCGAGCATCCCGCAGTCCCTCTGCCCACAAGCCCCTTCTGGCTCAAACGGTCACCCTCATGCCATGGGTTGCACTGTGTCCCCTGCCCCAAATTCATATGTTGGAATCCTAACCTCCAGGACCCCAGAATGTGACGTTATTTGGAGAGAGGTCTTTACAGAGGCAATCAAGTTGACATGAGGTCTCTAGGATGGGCCCTAAGCCAATTATGACAGGCGTCCTTCTGAGAAGAGAAATCCCGGCCCTGGCTGGTGTGCCTCAGTAGAGTGAGCGCCAGCCTGCGAACTAGAAGGTCGCTGGTTCGATTCCCAGTCAGGGCACAGGCCTGGGTAGCAGGCCAGGCCCCCAGTAGGGGGCGTGTGAGAGGCAGCCACACATCGATGTTTCTCTCCCTCCCTTCCGCTCTTTCTAAAAATAAATAAATAAAATCTTTTTTTTTTTTAACAAAAAAAGAGAAATTTGGGCACACATGTGCACACAAAGAGAAGGCCACGTGAAGATGAAGGCAGAGATCGGGGTGATGCATCCGCAAGCCAGCGAATGCCAAAGATCTCCAACAAACCACCCGCACCTGGGGAGAACCCCCGCCCCCAGCCCCGGAAGGAACCGACCCTGCCGAGACCTGGATCCCACACCCCCCTCCACACTGGGAGGATAAGCCACCCAGCCGGCGGTGCCTGCTACCGCGAGTCTAGCAAACCAGTGCAGTCAGTGCTGGAATCGCGACTGGAAGGAAGGAGCTCCGTGCATCACGGCAGCAGTCCCAGCACGCGAGGAGCTGGAGGAGCTCAGCGCCTGGGACTACACCCGTCATGGGGAGGGACCGACGAGGAAGGGCCTGGCACAGGGCACGTGCCAGGCCGGCAGGGTCCCACCGAAGCCCTGGGAGAAGCCTGAGAACCCCCACTGCCCGGGCCACCTCCCAGGGCGCCCTCCTTGGCCCGCCCCCGCCGCTTGGCCCCGCCCCCGCGACCACGGTACCAGGAGTGCTTTTGGGTCCACAAATGCAGGCTCTTTCCACAAATCTTCCGGGTCCCTGAACCCTCACCCCAGGCTCCCCATCCTGTCCCCCAGGCCCTGCACTGGGGACACAGAGGACAGCTCTTTTGAATAAGCCATGGAGACCAGTTCACACGTTCTATAATGTCCCAGCACCAGAGCTAGAGCCGCTCCTGATGAGGCCTGTGGGGGGAGGGGCGCTCAGCGAGGCTACAGCCCTGACTAGTCCCGTCTCAACCCTCACCGCTCTTGAGAGCACCTGGGGAGCTTTGAAAACTTGATGCTCTACAAGGTTCTCTGGGTAAGGTGGCTTTCATTGTTTCTTTTCATTATTTTAGTGCTTTAAAATTATATCTGGTAACGGGTTGCGAAAGCGCCTTCCTGAGGCTGTTCCCGGAGGTAGCTGAGCTGTTAAGGCAAGTCTGCCCTGCCCGAGCGCGAGCATTCACATGCGCCCACACCCCTCAGGGGACCCAGGGCACAGCCGGCCGAGCACACGTGGGGCCTGCCCACTTCACACGTCGCACAAGGGAGATGGGGCGACCTCTCCCGGAGCCCCTGCTTCTGCGAATTTCCAATCCAGACAGGCCTGGGCCGAAGCGATGGGTTGGTGGGAAGGTGCGGATTCTCTGTGGGGTGTGCGTGGGGGGTGTGCCTGCGTGTGTGCATGTAGGATGTGTGTGCCTGTGTGGGCACACATGAGCAGTGGGGTGCCTGTCATGCACGGGGGGGGGTTGCATGTGTGTAGAGGTGTGCAGGGAGTGCTTCTGTGTGTGTACACATGTGGGGCATGCACAGCACATACGCACACACGGACATATATGCAGGTGCGCACGCATGGTTCTGCACAGCGGCACGCATGCATGCGCCCCTGTGGGCACACGTGTGCAGTGAAGGAGACGGCAGCGGGGGGTTCCAGCCCCTGGCACCCCCCCAGGGCCTGGCTTTCAGGGCCTCCCAGGGCGGCGACCCCTGCCTTCCCTGCTCTGGCCCGGTGACAGGCAATGGCAGCCCCGCCGACCACAGCTCAGCGCCAGGCCCCGGGGTGGCCAGGCGGGCAGGAAGCGCTCTGGGCAGGTCAGGGCCCGGGGTGCAGGCTGGAAGAGGCGACACCCCAGCATGGGCTGAGAAGCCGAACCACGGAGTTAAACTCCTGCCTCTCAGGCAGGCTTTTCACCTTCCCCTGCTGTCACGGAAGGCGACCCTCTAGGCGTGGCGCTGAGCTGTCACAAGCCAGGGACAAGCCTTCCCAGTCCCCGAGCGAGCAGTGAAGGACGGAAGCGCTCACCTCTCTGGCCCCAGAAGACGCAGGGTCAGAAGGGGGAGCCAAGCTGAAGGCTGTCTGGTAAATGTGAGTTCATCGAACCCTGACATGGCGCGAGGTGTCAGCGACGCCGACCAAAGGGTGCTCCACACCCACCTGAGGACTTCGGGCGGCAGGGCCTGGGATGAGGACCCTGGGCTGTCCCACACTGCATCTTGGGGTGTCTGGTGACCCAGGGGACGGGGCCCTGGCCCCTTGCTTGCTGCTCTGCCTGAGGCAGGTCTGGCCATGGCCACTCACAGGCTCTGGCTGCGCCATCCAGGTGTTGTCCAAGACTCCGCTGGCCTCCCACACACCGGGTCCCTGTTCTCCCTCCTCCGCACGCTCGCCCCATCTGACCTCCCTGCGGGGAGCTTCAAGGCCACGGAAAGATGCGAACGCTCGCCGCCCCTCCCTACAGCGCTCTGCTCCAGAGGCAGCGGGCCGGTGCTCTTGGTCCAGGGGAGCCGGGGTTGGGCGCCGGGCCGTGAGCAGCCTGGCGGGCGGCGAGTAAGCACGCGGGCTCCGAGGGGCCCGCGCAGTGTGAACAGCTTGGTCTGACCACGAAATGCCACTGGGGTGCATGCGGCAGGAGCGTCGCGCTGGTTCCCTCTCTCAGCACCAGCACCGGGGGACAGCTCCCTGCCCGGGTCTTTCCAGCTCAGGTGCCTTTCAGCCAGAGCGGGCGCGGGTGCTATTTCAAGGGGACACTGCCCTCCCAGAACCTGGGACTGTGCTCCCCAAGGCTGCACACCCCTGCAGCCCCTCGGCCCCTGCCGCCCTCCTCACGCGCACCGGCCTAAAAGGACGACTCCGCCGCTGTGCACCCGAGCCACAGGCGTGAGAACCTTCAAACCGCCAGGCCATCCAGTGGCCTCACAGTGCAACCCAATCTCAGCCTCGTGCTCCCGCGCGGCAGGGCTGCTCCCGATGCGCAGGTCCACCCGGGGGACTGGCGGATGTCTGACCGCAGATGGTGGTGTGGCTCTGTCCCCGGCAGCGGCCTCCTCTCCCCAGCACCATGTGCTGCCGAGCATCAGCGTTGCGGCCAGGACGAAACACTGACCAGGAAGAGAGAGACACCGAGGACCAACAGACCATCGAAGTGCTGGGGGCTCCGGACAGGAATGACGTTCTCGCTTAGAAACCACCCGAAGGAGCCCCGCGGGCTGAAGGAAAGGCGCCTACGACACCGGGCCGTCCTCAGGTGCACCCGGGGCTCTCCCCCAAATGCCAATAAAAGGGGAGCCGAAATCTGCCCCGAACAAATTCCTGAACTGTAAAGGAAAAGGTGGACAATTCTGATTACATTAAAATCAAGGCCTTGCCCTGGCCGGCATGGCTGAGTGAGTTGGAGCATCGTCCCATAAACAGAAAGGTCGCTGGTTCGATTTCTGGTCAGGGCACAGGCCTAGGCTGCAGGTTCAGTCCCCAGTCAGGTGCGTACGAGAGGTAACCGATCGATGTTTCTTTCCCTCTCTCCCTCCCTACCCCTCTCTCTACAATCAATGGCACGTCCTCAGATGAGGATTAAAAAAACCATAAAGAAATCACCAAGACAGTCCACAAATTAGAAGAGTTTTAAACACACGTAACTCATGCAGGATTCATACCACTCATATATAAAGAACTCCTACAGCTCCATGAGGAAACAATAAACAACCCAGCAGGAAAGTGGGCAAGTGGCACACGTGGGCATTTCTCCACGAGGAAGGCAGACAGACAAACACACGGCGGATGCTCGGCCTCCTCCGTCGCCAGGGCCCTCTGTCTGGGAGCCTCGTGACGCTGAGGGTGCACGGGGAGGGGCCCACGGGGAGCCTCCCGGGCGGGACTGAATGCGTGCCATCGCTTGGGGAAAAGCTGAATTTCCACACGCCCTCCATCTCAAGAAACGCTCGCCTAAGTTTATGTCCAAGAATAATTCTGACTCAGGTACACCAGGTAACGTGCACAAGGATGTCCCCACAGCATCATCCCGAGTAACTTGTAAAACCAGGACAGACCCCACACAGACAGGAAGAGCTGATGGGTCATTACGGTCTCTGGGTAGCGGTGAAACGAAATGGCCGGGAGCTCCTTGCAGCGCCGTGGACGAACCCCCGAAACACCAACCACCAGGCGAAGAGAGCGAGTAGATGCCGTGTTTACAAAGCTCAAGACCAAACCAAAATACAACTAAGCCATGTATTATTGATGGATACAGGACTAGGTTAAAAAAAAATTTTTTTTTCCCTACAAAGCAAAGGAATGACAAACACAAAATCCGAATGGCAGGCTCGCCCCAGGGAGGCAGGGGGATGGGTGAGAGTCCTGGGACTTCCACCTCTTCTTGTGCTTCCTATGTTACATATATTTTTGTAGGTACCAAATAGCAAACATTAATAAGTAAAAGGAGAAAGACTGTACATATTTCTATACGTCACAGATCTGGAAGTTAGAAACAAGCCTAATCACAGTGGCGCGCACACAGCTCCACGCCTCCAATGCCCCGTCTCCGCCTCCAGCGGCCTCGGAGGGACCCCGGAGAGGCGAGCACAGGCGGCACCGGCCCACCCACCAGCCTCTGGGGCTTACTGGCCCCCACCCCGCAGGCAGGCCCAGGAAGGAGCCCAGCTCCGGAAAAGAACTCCGAGGCGCTCCGAGCCACCAGGGTGGCGGGCCGAGGGGACGCGGCTCAGCTCCACGAGCCAGTGTGTGTCAGCTGCAGCAGGGACTCCAGGGCTGTCTGCCCGGGGGGCGGGGGTAGAATTCCATGGAGGGAACAGCGCAGTGAAAATGCGCTTCCCGGGTGCATCCCAGCCGTGGCTGGGAATCCCCGCAGGGGAGGGGAGTGGCCGGGTGGGTGGCAGCGCCCATGCGGCCCCGGAGCACCTCAGGGAGGGGCTCCCGCCCCCAGCACTCACCTCTGCAGCTCCTTCAGGGACACTGTGACCCGCAGGCCGTGGCCCAGGACGTACAGAGCGGCCAGGATGTCCGCCCACTGCACCATCTCCCCCAGGGGCCCGCCCTTCAGCACCCTCGGGCTGAACACGTCCCCAGACTCCTCCGTCAGGAAGCCGATGTGGACGAGGATCTGTGGGCGACACGGGAGGTCAGCGCAGAGGAGCGATGGCACTCGGCCCTGCCACCCCGGGGAGGCCCGGCCAGCGGCAGCCGGGCCCGGGCGGGCGCCTTCTGTCCTGCGGGCGGGACCAAGAGGTGGAGGCCCCGCACCCGGCGCCCAGGCAAACACGGCGGTCACGTCCGGCCCTCAGGGCGCTTACGTTCCGGATGGAAGAGGAGACAACAGTGAACACAGACAAGAGAGAATTTCATGAAATGATAGGGACTCTGAAAGAAACAGACAGGGCGATGTGAGAGTCAGGTAAGTATTTACTGGATGGGTGGATGGATGGACGGACGGACGGACCGATGAGCCCTCCCCAAACAGGTTACGTTACTCCCAACATTCCAGACAAATGCCACATTTCCGCCCAGCAAGAATGAGATGTCTGCGGAATGCAGGACCTTTCGGGGGGCAGGGGGGGAGCGTGTCTTTCTTTCCCGAATCTGAAAGGGCCCAGGGCCACCACCTGCCTCTATCCTGTCTTTGCCTCCCCTCCCCCTTCTGGCTCAAATTCAAATAAGTTCTATGAGACTCTCTCGAGGGCAGACCGGTGTCCACTTGGGGCTCTGGGGCCCTGGGGCCCTGGGCTCATTCCCCAAGCCCCCTGAGCTCAACTCCCTGAACGCAGAGAGGGGGTCAGGTACCTGCTTCTGGTCCCTCTGGACGCCCCCCAGCTTCCGCGCCAGGCGCTGGGCGGCCGTCGCCCACTGGGCCGTGAGCTGCCTGGTCCGTTTCTTCATGAAGATGAGAGACTCCTTCCCGCTGCCCATCAGCTCCAGGAGGTGGGACAAGTTGCTCCGGAAAACTGCCTGGAGGGGAGCCCAGCGCTCGGCTCTCGAACTCGGAGGCCTGCAGCTGTGCAACTGCCACCGCCGCCGCCTGCTGCCCCGAGGACGGGGCTGGCACCCTCCGCGTGAGGCTGGGCCTGCTCCGGCCTCCTCGCCCTTCCCGGGGGGCGTGCCGGCCCCCACGGTGGGGTCCCTGCTCCCTCCCCCCAGCCAAGCTGGCCTGTCCTGAGCCCCCCAGGAGGTGCTCGGCAGTGACAGTTCCCAGGGATCCCAGGTGCTCCCAGGAGGCAGAGAGGGTGGCGGTCAGGGCAGCGGCTTGAACGCCAGGGCAGCCGGGCCGAGCAACTATGCCTTGAACCAGCTCAGCTCTCGAGATCCCTGTTAAATGTGAGCACCTGAGGGCTGAGGGGAGGCTCAGGGACAAAGTATCTGGCACACGGGAAGGTTTCCAGAAGAACCAGCCACCACTGCTACTGCTCTAGTCGGCTAAGGGGGGGCCTCCAGGGCGCCGGCCGCCCCTCGAGCAGGCCCAGCTTCGCCGCATCCCCCGGAGGCGGACGGGCACTCCCAGGCGGCTCCCCATCCAGCAGGGCGGGCCGGGGCCTGCGCGCCCACCAGGCAGAGACGCTGGCCTCGTTTTACCGGGGCAATGGTGTGTCAGCCTGAGGAGCCCAGGCGAACGGCCCCCCGACCCGTCACCGGCCACCCACCTCGCAGGCCTACCTGGACTTTGGGGAGGGCCTTGGGGGCCGCCCGGGCGGCCGTCTGGTTCCTCCAGGGCAGCGGGGGGCAGAACCACTCGACCTCGCTGAGGTAGACGAGGAAGGAGCACTCGGTGCCGTCCACCCCGAAGAAGGCGTAGCAGGGGTCCGAGGTCCAGCGCGCGCGCATCCACTGCGAAGACGCCAGCCTGGGCCAGGAGCCCGCGCTTGGCGCGCCCCCTGCCCACGTGACCCTGGGCTCCCTCAGTCCCCCCCGATGGGGCCAACGGGGCCACCCTAGAGATGCCCCCATCTTGGCCACCGAGGGCCTCAGGGGAGGCCGGGCTGGACCACCATCCCCCCGGCCCACAAAGAGGAGGGCCCTGGGGAAACAAAGCCAGGACGGGACGCGGGGCAGGGGCAGCAGCTCATGGCCTGGCTGGACTCGCCTGAAGCAAGGTCAGGAGCAGCCTCGGAGGAGGCGGGGCGCGGGCTGGGGCGGGACCCAGCCACAGCGACACGGCGCGGTCACCGAAGAAGCCACCTCAGGGCCACTGCCCCACCCTTTTCGGGACTTCAGAACCAGTGAGGACCGGGCTTTCACAGCCACGCACTGGCCTGTGAGGGGCAGGCTCCCTCAGCCATAGGTCCCGGGAGGAGGCCCCAAGGGCTCTTGGTCCAGCCGCTCAGACCACGGGGGACGAGCGGAGAAACCAAGTCCGCTCCGTCTCTGCGCTGGTTGGGAGTCAGGCTACGGGTGGTAGTACATGTGTATTTAATAGCTCGTTTGCTATAAAAAAGTACTGAAAACGGGTTGGTGGGCCAGGCAGAGAAGCAGTTCCCCTGAGCTTGGCCTTTGCCAGCTGGTGCCGAGGTCAAGGTCAGGGTCAGGGTCAGGGGCCTGGGCGAGAGGCCCTGTGGGTGGGCGGCGGAACCCCTCAGCGCTCCTGGGGCACGGCCCCCACGGAGGAACCCCCTTCCTGGTCACCGCTCACCCCCGCAGCCCCGGGCCTCACCTCCACCTTCCCCGAGCAGTCAGGGAACTTGGGGTCACTGGGCGCCTCACACTGGTCCCGCCGGCCTTCAGACACTGCGGAGAGAAGGTCACCTTGCTGAGGACCTGGGTCTGCGACAGGGATGGAGCCTGGCGGTCAGAGGAGCGGCTGGTGGCGGGGGCAGGGGAAGGGCGGGAGCTGACACAGCCTTCAGCCTAAGGTTTCACACCTGAAAGGCCACCCCAGGGCATCCCCAGGCCTGGGCGGCCCCCTCTGCCACCGCCCCACCCTCCTTCGGGGGTTCAGGCCCAGAGAAGAGCTGGCCTGAATGATGATGGACCGGCTGCCTGGATGGGCAGACTTCATGCACCCTCCCGAATGCACCCCACCTTTTTCGGGGGGCTGAGGTTGGACCTGCAGCCCCAGGCTGCTGCTCCCACATCAAGGGGAATGGAGGGGGCCCTGAGTCTCCAGGGACCTCCGCTGTCCTCAGCACCCTCGTGCCAAGCAGGGACGCGTGAACCCTGAGTCGCCCACTGGGTGCCTAGGGAGCTACTGAGGGAGAAGTCCCCACCCCGGGCGTTCCATCCGGCACACTGGCCCCTGGGTGCAGCGGCAGCCCCGGCCCCCACCCTTGCTGTGCAGGAGAAGGCTGTGGCGCAGGATCTGGTCCACCTTCACGGCGATGTCCGAGACGTTCTGGGCGATGGCCTGGATCCGCTCCATGAGGCCGGCCCCAGGGGGCAACCTGCTGGCAGAAACCGGGGCCGAGTGGCAGGGTCTTCCCAGGGGACCCCACCAGCGAGCAGAGCCGCGGGACCGGGGACTGCGGGGGTCCCGCCACCCTGCACTGACTGGAAATGCGTGGCAGATGAAGCCTGGCCAGGAAGCGAGCCGTCTGCCAGCCCCCACCTGGCTGGAGGGGCTCCAGCCACCAGAGCACGCACATCACAGCACGGGTGGAGCCCTGTCCGCACACAGGTCAAAGGGCAGAGCCTGAGGCCGAGGCAGCTGGGAAATTCCACTCGAGAACCAGGACCGGACCAGTCCCGGGGCCTCCGGGGGACCCAGGCCCTTGGACCAGGCACGGCCAGCTGCCCCAGCTCGGTTTCTCTCTTTCCTCCCAGAAGGACAGTACCATGCCAAAATAAATTCCATCGCAAGCAGCCTGGAGACTTGCCAGCTATTAAACCGCTAGTAAATTATCATTGGGTTCCGAGAATGAGTTCTTCCAGGATCTGAAACGCCCTTGCTGCCACGAACGTAAAGGGCCTCCCCCCTGCCCCCCGCCGCCATACTCATGTGGCCTGTATTTTGGGAGAGTTTATTTCCTGTGTCGATTACCACTGAACTCCGAGGTTTACCAGAGGTCACCCGCAGTGCGTATCTGGGCGCGAACGCTCCTAGTGAGGCAGCGCTCGCTCTGCCGGCATGGGGAGGGGGCGGGGGGCGGCGTGGGGCCGGACGACCCCGAGGCCTTTCTCTGGAAGTTGCTTGCTGTTCTGAGCGCACTAATTCCGTGCCCTTGACTCTCACCTTGTCTTCTGGCTTCGAGACCCACTTTAAGCTCCGTTTCTCCCTTTATGAGAACCGAGTCTTCACCGCCGCGTGTAATTCCAGGAAGGAGGATCTTTGCAACCTGGGCTCTCGGTGCTGGGAAACCTGCGCCCCTTCTCTTCGGGGCGGGCGACCTTGCCCACCAGGGAAGGCCAGGGGTCTGAGGTCCAGGTCGGGCAGGGCTGGCACCTCCTGCGGGCTCCGGGGGAGGGTCTGCTCAGGCTGCGCTCCACTCCTGGGGGGGGCCGCTGTCCTGGAGCTCCCTGGCTGTGGCTGCATTGCCCCACCGTCTCTGTCTTCCCTTGGCCTTCCCCGTGTGCCCATCTCCTCTTCCTCTAAGGACGCCGGTCACTGGGCTCGGGCCCAGCCCGCCCACATCCAGCACAATCTCATCCTGACTGGATCGCATCGGCAAAGTCCCTGTTTCCATGTAAGATCCCTCTCACAGGCCCTGGGGTTAGGGCTTCAACATGTTTCCAAAAGACAACCGAACCCACGACGGTCTCCTGCGAGGTTCCAAATAAGAGTGAGATTTAAAAAGGCAAATGGTTCTCCTGCTCCGAAGGCCCCCGGGCAGGAGGACGCGAGGATGCTTCCTCAGACGCTGTCAGGAAGAGAGCAGTCGGGCGCCTTCCGTTCACCAGCACACGCAAGGAGACGCGCGGCAGGCCTGCCTCTCACGGGCTGCGTGACCCTGGGCGAGTCTCCCGCCCCCTTGGGACCACGGCGTCCTCCTCTTTCAGGACGGAGCCCACGGCCCGCGCCGCAGCAGCCGGCGAGGCAAGCCCCGAACGTGCCAGCCACGCTACCGCGCGCGCCATGGGCCGGTCACAGCTGCAGCCGAGGAAACTTCAGCTGCCCAGGGACTCCCGACCTTTTTTCATTATTGCTGCTTTTTAGACGTTTTTACTCCCACTTGCTCCGCTCTCTTGGAACATCAACCCCAGGGATGTTCTGCTTATCCGTTCACACGCCAGGGCCCGCTGCCATGTGAAAGGCAGGCCTGCCCCTCCAGGACCAATGTTCGCCTGTCGGGCTGACCCGCACCCCCTGGGAACGCCTGGGTCAGGCCTGAGAAGGGGCCGCTGTCCCTGACGTCCGCGGGGCTCCCAGAGAAGTCCCGCGGGTGGTGGAACTGCGCCCCACAACCCAAGGGAGGCGGGACGGGCACTCCTCTGACAGGAAGGATTACTTAGGTGACCGAAGGAGGTGGCCCCAGGGCAGAGGCCAGAACCACACGGCTGCTGGGTCAGGGTTGGGGCGGGGAAGGACCAGAGCCCTTCCCGACTTCTAACGGGAGCCAGGGACCAGCCTGAGCTTCTGTCAGGGCCGCAGAGACATTGGAAGGGGCCCCGCCTTCTTCCTGCAGGCGCCCTTCCGCGGCGGCTCTGCTCCACGCCCTGTCCCCGCAGGAGCCAGGCCCCCTCTCTGAGCCCCCACACCCCGGGCTGTGACTGTGAGTGGCTGGCAGCTTGAAACCCCCAAGGGACTCCTGAGTGTTCAAGGGCAGGGACGACCTTTCGCTGTGGAGCTTGACGCTGTCCGGCACGGGCCTCGCGCCCAGGGCGCCATCCCTTTGCTGGGTTGCACAGCGTCCCCCAAAATTCACAGCCACCCGGAACCTCAGAACGTGGCCTTATTGGGAAACGGGGTTTCTGCAGATGTGAGTCGTTGAGGGAACAGTGGATGAGGGTGGCCCTAAGCTGAATGACGGGTGTCCTTACAGGAAGGACGCCTGAAGACACACAGGGAGGAGACGGCCGCGTGACGATGGGGGCAGGGACCGCAGCGGTGTGAGCGCGGCCAGGGAGGGGCCGGGGCGGGCTCTCCCCGGGAGCCTTCGGAGGCCCGAGGCTGGCAGACAGCCTGACTTCAGGCTTCGAGACTGAGACAGAATCGAGTCCGTCGTGTTAAGCCTCTCAGCGTGTGGCCAGGACGCCCATACAATCACCACCTGCAAAACTGAGAGGGAGTGGCTTTTAACCCGTCACAGAAAGTGAGTCCAGGTTCTCCCTTCCTCCCCACCCCCACCCCCACCCGTGAACTTTCCTCCGACCTGTGCCCCTCTCCCTGGAGATGAAGAACCACAGGAGGTGGGTGGGGGTGGGGGGAACCTTGACTTCTCAAGCCCCGGGGCAGTGACGCCACATGATTCAGCGACTTATTGGGAAGAACGGGGCCTCAGAGTCCGAGGCCCTTGGTTCAAACCCTGCCTCCCCTGGACTGCTGTGTGACCTGGGGCCAGTTCCCAACCTCTCTGAACTCAGGGGTCGGCTCCGATGAAACCTGGAGCCGATCAACCACCTCTCAGAGTGGCTGGAAGGATTAGATGCCAGGCTGAATGTACGATGCTTGGCATGTAGCGGGCGCTGAATAAATGCTGGAGACGCTGCCACCCCCTACCAAGAGCCGTCACCTCCTCCCCGAGAGGGAGGGTCGTACGTCTAATTACAGAGCCAAGCACTTTACTTTGGGGGGGGGGGGCGGGGATTCAGCAACTTTCACGCGACAAGCGCTTTTGCATCAAACATGTCACTAGCTCAGGCTTTAAATAGTGCAGACGGCATCTGTCTGATTGAACAAGTTCAACTTGTTCGGAACAGAATTCTCAGCGTCACTATTATTATACTGGACTTAGCATTTGTGCACATTTTCTATTTTCAAATAATATATGATTAGGCTTCTGTCTCTGAGAAGCTTTTTATTTCTTTTTTTTAAAGATTTTATTTATTTATTTTTAGAGAGAGGGGAAGGGAAGGAGAAAGAGAGGGAGAGAAACATCCGTGTGTGGTTGCCTCTCGAGCACCCCTCACCGGGGACCTGGCCCACAACCCAGGCAGGAGCCCTGACTGGGAATTGAACTGGCGACCGTTTGGTTCGCAGGCCGGTGCTCAACCCACTGAGCCAGGGCGCTTTTTTTCCCCACAATAATAAAAGTAGATGCTGTGAGACCTCAAACCACAGCACACCCATGACCCAGGAAAAGAAAACGGGGAGGGGGGTGGACTGGGACAGCGGCCTGCAGCTGCCTCCAGCCAACGGGGCCCCCAGGAACCCAGAGCCGTGGCGGGGTCACCGTGGGATCACGGTGGTGACAGGGCGGATTTCTCCTTAGACCTAGGGGGTGAAGGACCGGAGCCCACAATGCTTTCAGGGGTCCAGGGAAATGTTTTCATTTCCTTAAAAATCAGGGGGAAAGTTGAAGGTTAAAAAAAATTTTTTTTAAATTTTTTAAAAGATTTTATTTGTTTTCATTATTTTTATTTATTTACTTATTTATTTATTTTTAGACAGAGGGGAAGGGAGGGAGAAAGGGAGAGAAACATCCATGTGTGGTTGCCTCTCATGCACCACCCCTCCCCACCCCCGCCCCGGGGACCTGGCCCTCAACCCAGGCAGGTGCCCTAACTGGAAATCACACTGGTGACCCTTTGGTTCGCAGGCCGGCACTCGGTCCACTGAGCCACAGCAGCCAGGGCTGAAGGTCAAAAAAATGTTTTAAATGTCATGTTAATATATTTGCCTTTCTACCAATAAAATGTAATGTTGCTATTGGTTACCTTGCGCCCTCTTAATTTATGCGTCCTAGCCCCCAGCAACCTTATTTGGCCCCGCCTGGGTGCTCAGTGGGTTGGAGCATTTGTCCCACGCACTAAAACGGGGAGCGCTCGGTCCCCGGCCGGGCGCGGGCCCGGGTTTCGGGTTTGAGCCCTGGTCCGCGTGCGCGCGAGGCAGCCAGTCAAGGGTTCTCTCTCACACTGGAGTCTCTCTTTGTCCCTCTCCCCTTTCCTCGCTCAAAAACCAATAAATGTATTTTTAAAAACGTTTAAAGTACCCTTATTTGAACATCGGGCCCTTTCAGATAAAAGTAGTGAAGGGAACCCGAGGTCACACTGGCGCAGGGTAAGCCCCGATCCCAGCATGACTGGGGCCCTTACACACAGGGCGGCCTGGACGCAGACGCGCACTGCGGGCGGAGGCCAGGGAGGCTGCGCTCAACAGACCCTTCCCAGAAGCCTCCGAGGGCAGCGCGGCCCCGCAGACGCCCCGCGGGCCCCCGATCGCGGACCCCCGGCCTCCGCCGCGGTGGGACTGCGCTCCGCGTGCGGTGCTTTGGTAGCAGCCCCAGGAGCTCATACCATTTTCAGCGTTTTTCCAAGAGGAAGGGCCCTGCGGTCCAGATGTGGCTCA